TAATACACAGCCTGTGGTAAATCATGTTTAGTTTTCCTCCACTGCCACCGGAGGGAAGCAAAGTGTCTTCCTCCTGAGACGCACACCCACAGGACAGAAACAAAGAAGAATGACTTCCGTTAATCACTGAGACGTTTCCTGTGGTGCTAATGTTAGCCTGAAGCTGGGTTGGTATTACAAATGTCTTATTTAGTGTCGCTTGTTGTCAAATTCCGTCTCGTTTCACCTCTCGGAGGGAACACACTCCTGTAACGTTAGAAAACGACCCGTTTCCTCTCATTCTACATCGGTAAATAACGACAGTTAGTGAGCTGAGCTAGCATGAATGTTTACACAGCTGGCTAAGCTAACGGGTACGTTAGCCAAGTTAGCTTCTTGGTTAATTCTAGTTAAATCAGTGTTATCTTTGTTCCGATAGTGTATCTTGACAGTTGAGTTATTTAACCGAGTTATGCTGGATATATTTGGCTCATTGTCACTGACTTACTAAGTCAGTGACAGTAACGGAGATGTATGTTGTCAGTATAATTAACTTCTTATGTATTGAAATATATAAATGGGTGATAATTAACGATCTGGAAATTGCATCGCAGTCTTGACATAGAAATAATGAGATGCTGTGTGTAACCTTACGCTGGATCATCGTCACACACGGTGGTTGTGTGTGTTTTTCACATGTTCGGCTCCGTAACTGTTGCGACTTCCTATTTACCCACAAACTATTGCTGCCTACGTGTAACGATTATTTGTTGTTATTGATTAATCTCCCGGTTATGTATTCGATTCATCAGTAATCCTGTTGTGTCCCAGACTCCTCAGATAATGTGTTGTCCGATCAACAGTTAGATATTCAGTGAAGAACCAGACAATGAGCCATTTTTGCTTAAAAAACATTAGTCAGTTATGAAACTAGTTGCTATTCAGTTTTCTAATGATCGATTCATTTGGCGAATCAGCTAATTGTTGCAGCTCTAGTGTAAACAGTGAATGGCTGTGAATGATCAAATGCTTGTCTTCACAGTGGCTGGTTGGACAGAGAGGTGTCAGGCATGTATGCCTCTGGGAAATACAGCTCGCGGGGCCCAGCTCTTATCCCGCGGATGAAAACCAAGCATCGCATCTACTACATCACCCTCTTTTCTGTGGTGCTGCTTGGATTGATTGCCACTGGGATGTTTCAGTTCTGGCCCCACTCCATTGAATCCACAGCTGACTGGACGCTGGATAAACGCAGCGTCCACGATGCCCCTCTGGTCCGCCTCCCTGCCTCCAGTCCCATTCCTGAGAGGGGGGACCTCAGCTGTCGCATGCACACCTGTTTTGATGTATACAGGTGTGGCTACAACCCCAAGAATAGAATCAAGGTAACTGCCTTTTAAAGCAACTCTCTCTTTGTGTTTCTCTTCCATATTTTGTTGTGTGATTTTTTTTGTTTGTTTAAATTATAAACCATTGTGGACATGGTTTTCCTCTTAGGTCTACATTTACCCTCTGCAGCGGTTTGTGGATGAATTGGGGGTTCCCATCAGCAGCACTGGACTCTCACGAGAATACAATGACCTGCTCAGTGCCATCTCTGATAGTGATTTCTACACTGATGACGTGACCAGGGCCTGTCTTTTTATCCCATCAACTGATGTGCTGAATCAGAATTCACTACGAATCCGAGAGACTGCCCAGGCTCTGGCAATGCTACCTAGGTAAATATTTACACTAGCTACAGTCATTAAAAATACAGTCTGAGTTAGTTTTAATCATGCTGTTTTACTGCTTTGTCACCTTCTCTTCGTGAACCTGTTTTTCAAAGGTATTATATACGTGTTGTTGCCATTGTTGTTGTGGACTGAATTGTGTCTTATTAATTCCCAAAAGATTGATTTAAGCTAATTAACTATTTGTATTGTGTAGGAG